CTCGCTAGGAGCCACCGTGTGCAGGCACTGTTCCTGACTTGGGGCTGTCACAGCCTGAACAGCAGGTTTGTTGTCTCAGGAAATTCAGTATCAAGGGGCAGGGTGGGCCTCCAGCTGAGTGCTGCACCGCCCATTCTGCCCTGCTGAGGTGTCAGGGGAAGGGTCTGCTGGAGGTGGGCTCCTCCCAAGAGGAGACATTTGAGTTTGGCCTTTGGGACTGACAGCAAGGTGACCAGCCGGTGGTGTGCTTCCTTTGTCCCTAACAGCCTGGCTAGTAATCAGACAGTTACAGTACTGAAAAGGATTGCCACGTAGAAGAAAAGCATTATTTTTTAAACTAAAAAAAAGTGCTTTTATTTTTTAATTACTAAGTTCTTCACTTGAATTTTAAGGTTTCCAACACTCAGAGTCCAATGAAAATATTCTTTCTACATCAGAGAGCAGAGGTCAAAGAAAAGCCAGGTACCAGACAAGAAATCATTCTCTTTAGATCTGCCTGAGTGCTCATGTGCCTCTACATCTCCCATCTGCAGTTCTTCTGAGCCCAGCTGTGCTGGGGCCAGAAGCACAGGCCTTCACAGAGGGCCTTCCCTGGGTGAACTGCCACTTCTCAGCATAGTCTCTGGATGTCTGTTCCCCAAGAGGTGTATCCTGGGAGGCAGCCTTTTCTTTTCCTCCCTGGCAGCACTCTACTTACCCAGTACCCCTGTGCCATGCAGCTAGTTCAGGAGTGTTGCTTTTCATCCTGTCTGCTTTCAGGCAGTAGTTGTAGCTGGCATTGCTTTGGTAGGTGACCTTGTGGAAATGAGTATGTGACATTTCCTCATTCTTCACTGTCCTGCCTTTCCAAGTAGAATGAGAATCAAGTATCAGTCTACTGGGAGGTGTTGCAGTCATTTCATAATAATTTGGAAAAAGTGTATCCGACACAAATTAAATGAAAATCAGCAGTTTTAAAGTGCCCTATAGCATCTTGTATAAACTCCAGCTTACATTTCACATTATTCCTGATCATGCAGTAGATTCTGAAGAAAAAAAGCTATGGATAATCAGTTAAAAGAATGACAGATTCCCTGATGTGCCGATCAGTAGTAATACCTAATTTCGATTTCGAGTGTGCTATAATGGATTACCATATAGATGCAGCTGAGCACTGAGCATTAAATAGAGCCATGTGTTTTTCAGAAAAGTAATGTTTATTCACACTGTGTGGCTTTCTTGAAAATTTTTTTTATTTTATTCTCCATTGAAATGACAAACAAGGTGTCACTAGCTTATCTGGCATTCACAGCAGTGTAGCTGAGAATATCAGCTCCAGTAGAAGAAATGCCAGATTACTGCTCACTATATGTAGGCTTTATCTGGGACTTTCTGAGGGACAGATTTAGCATTTAGACATAGGTAGTTGTGTTGGGCTTTATTTTTGTTGACCTTATAATAGATTTTAATGTATAAAAAATAGCCCTCAGTATTTGAGTGCAAAAGAAGTGTCAGTGGGAGTGTTGTTTCAGTCTGTGAATTATCATGTGAGATTCTGTTCATTTATTAGTGTGTAGTATTGGTTATGATGTTTCCTACCCAAACCTTACCAAGTATGTGTTGGAGTGTTTTTAAAGTGCATTCACTTCATAAATCTAGGGGCTGGGGATTTAGCTCAGCGGCATAAGCGCCTGCCTTGCAAGCAGGCAGTCGTGAGTTCGATCCCTGGTACCGATAAAAAGAAAAAAGACAAAAAAAAAAAATAAAAATAAAGTGCATTCACTTCATAAATCTGAAAACTTTTATCCAGGATGATGAGAAGCCTGACCTCAGAAGAACTTAGAGACCACTTTTGTGGCAGACTTCTAGTGCCTTCATCATCTTGTTATATTTTCTGTTTTTCCTGAAACTAAAAGTTACTTTTCTTCATTGCATACTAAGAAAAGACAATCTAAACCAAGACCACCCATATGTGTTTTAGAAAACTAAGAAACATGATTCAGTGTCAGCCTTGGTTACCTCACTAAATTAAATGTCTGAAGAACAGTGAGTATGGCACACATGCATCAAGTTTAAGATATGACATATCCTACATCATTAATGTTCTCAGTACCTTCTATACAAAAATTTTTAACTTAAGTGGCAAAACAGTGCATGGATGAATAGAGAAAACATGGGATAGCTCAGCAATAGAACATTATCCAGCCTTTAAAAAGAGGGAGATCCTGTCACGTACAGCAATATGGATGACCCGCAGGATATTCTGCTAAGTGTTAAAAAATCAGGCCCAGGAAAATACGTGCTGCAGTACCTCACTTCTGTGTGGTTCCAGTTGAGGGTAGATTCTTAGTTATGAGAGGCTGGCTAGAGGTTGTGGAGCCGGTGATAAGCACATGTCTGTGGATGTGTTTAGGGTAGAAGGGGATGGGCAGAAGGGAGGGGAGACAGGGAGGTGAATGCATTGCTTGCAGAGGCAGGTGGCAGAGGGCCCCACTCCTTTGGCTGTAGTGATTCTTTCTCTTAGTTCCCCACATCCTTGAGATTTGCCTGCCAAGCCAGTCTCCCACAAAATGCTATCACAGTTTGCCAACATTTCACTTTGGCTTCTTCTGAAAGAACCTGGTCTGCCTCCTCCATGTCTTTCCATTCCATGGGACCCTGTCGTTCCACCATTCTCTTGGTTCCAGTCCTGGGCTGTACCACTGCTCTGCAGTCTTCATTAGTACTATCATTGTGGATTTTATATCATCAGTGCTGGTTAAGAAGCTGGAGCCTCTTGTTGCTGTGTGGCTCCTCCCTGGGTTTGTTAACTTTTACCCTCCTTCATCTTCCTACACTCTTCCTCAGAAAAGCCTTTCCATGCCGCAGGCTCCGCTTGCCCCACCACTTGCTCCTCATCCATCCCTGGCTTTCATTCCCATGGTGCTCAGCTCCACCTGGCGGGCTAAGACCACCAAGCTTCTTGGCCATGCTGGGGGCTGAGCAGTTTTGGTCCAAGTGCTGGAGTTAAAAGCAGCCCCATATCAGGTGCTTGCATTTAAACATTCAGTAACGGATTTTATATTTTAGAATTGCTGAAAGAATAGATTTTGAATGTTCTTAAAATGTCAAGTATGTGAGGTGATAGTTATGTTAATAAGCTTGATAGATGGCTCATTCAACAGGGTGTATATATATCAAAACATTACTTTTGCCTCACAGCTAAATACATTTAGTGTTTGTCAACAACAAATTTAAATTTAAAATATAAATGAAATTAATTTTTAAAATTTAAAAACAAAAGCTCTAGAGTAAGTCTGAAATGGAGGCTTTCTCCTTTAAGAAAGAGAATGGAGAGAATTCTTTTCAGTGATTTTCAATGTATGAGGAGTTATGTACTGATACATTTGCATAGCATTTTATCCTTGTAGATGTGAGGAATTCATAATAAGTTTTGTAAGTTAGTACATTTATATATCGGGTCTGGCACTTTGAAAACATGGTTTTAAACTATACAGCTTTGATTTTTTGTCTTGTTTTTCTTTACTAGTTTTGGGGTTAAATGTCATTAAGCCAATGATACCCAAGGAAAGGTGGAATGCATTCTATGTGAATGTGAATATGGGACCATCTCTGGATCATGACCACCTGCAGATTTCATGATTTCGAAAGTCAAAAGAATTCAAAGTTTATTTGCTGAGTGTAATCACTGGCTGTCTACTTTGTGCCAGACAGAGATTCTTTAGGTATGGGTTTATTTCGGGGGCTGACAGAAATGCTGCCCTCTGGGCTTCTTGAACTCAGGTGGAGGTCGTGTGGTCCCAAGGCGATGGGTGGGTGGGTCCTTGATGGAGAGAGGACCATGAAGAGAGCAGGATAGGTCAAGACAGCATGCAGAATGACTTCTCTGAGGAGGTGACATTGGAAGTAGGATCTGCCATTGTGCAGGGTTGTAGATAGAAGAGTTCTGTCCCCTAAAGTCGCTTCTGTTTGATGGATGTTTACCTGTTGTGGCTTCACCTAGCAGGAGCTTCAGAAGCTGTGTCCCTTTGTTGTCCAGGAAGAGCAGTCAGGTGAGGGGATGTGTATGTCACTGACCCTTTGGCAAGTGACAGCCAGAAAACAGGCCACACAGACTGTGTGGGCTCTGCACAGAAGTGTCTGTTAGATATGTTATTCAGGAGGTCAGGATACCCACTTTTGACCTTACTTTCCTTAAATGTCAGAATATTAGGCCAGCTAAACCTAGAATGGAGATTTTCACTGTAAAGTAGTATGTCAGTACTAACAGATGCATTTTGATAAGTTTGGGATTGCCTATATTTTTAAGAAATGTAGTTGCAGCCAGCATACAAGAAATCTTATTGCCCAAGAATAATTTGCCAAAATTTGTTCGTGAGTGAGGGAAAAAGATATTGTCAGTGGTTGGGGTTTTCTGGAGTGTAGAAGGCAGTGGAATTAACCAAACACTCTTGTATATCGCAGATGTGTTCTTTGTCTGCCAGTGGAGCCATTCATAACAGTAACCCTGAGACTTGTGCTTTCAGGCCATCACTTTCCTGAAGATCTGCCCCATCCCCACATTGGGTTATTTCTGATCTCATTTTCTTTGTTCATCTTCCTCCAAGACTGTTCTTTGGGAACTAATAATGATGATACAGAAATAGGAAGAAGGTGAAAAAGAAGAGACTGGCATTTTGGAAATTATTCTTTTAGTATTTAAGTGACAGCTGTTATTTAATCAAACTAGAATGATCCTTTTTGGATCCCTTTTTCTTTTTCTTTTTTTGCTTTTTCTTTTCCCATTGCAGGAACTAAACTTGGTTACTAATTTATTTAAATTATTCAAGAAAGGAAGCTTGTTTGAGGCAAAGTAAAAGAAATGCAGTACAATGATATTACCGTACATGTATTGCAAGTACAGTGTTTATGTTTGTATAGTTTTTCTTTTGTCTGCTGAAACATACATTACAAGTAATATAAACCTACAGTGAAAATACGTATTTTCATTTATATCTTATTAATTTTTTCTTACTTTACAGAAAATATTGCAGTTTCTACCTGAACGAATTTTCTTTCGATGGCATTATCAGAGCATAGGTAAGAATAATTTTAAAAAGTTTTAAAATAAGCTTTTAAAATCAAATTTCCAGTAGTGTTTTATATAATTAACATCATCAAGGTAGCTTATAGCAAGGAATATTAATATGGATATGACAATTAAAACCCAAGACTACGGAGGACATGTACTTGTGTCTGCTCTGACGAGGTCACCTGCAGTGTGACTCCCAGATCATCAGCCTCCCCCAGAGCTGAATTTCAGGCCCCCCCAGAGGTACAGAGTTCCAGGGCAGCGAGTTCCTGTGCACATAGAATTTGAGAAACACAGATCTAGAGTATTTTCTTAAATAAGTTTACATTTTTCTTACAAAATATCTTGGTCTTTAAGCCTGTATTATGGACTCACATTACTCTGTTACAGTGCTTTTGGATATAATAGCCGGTGGAAACTTGAAATGAAGCACACTGCCAGAGCTGCCCTTTCTGTTTGGCTGTTCATAGCTAATAGCTTCTCATCCCAATTCTGTGCACAGCCCAGCTGGATCGATTTCTGGGTTGAGTATTATAAATTCTGCCATCTGTCCTAAAAATTATCTGCTTCAGGCCTTCTGCCTCCCAAGATCTGCAATTCCTAACATTTTTTATTCCTTACCAAAAAATGGTCATATTGGACCATGAACCTTATGATGAATTGAACCTTATAGATTATTTGTTCATTTAGATATTTATTCAGGAAGAGACATTGGCTCCCAGTTCTGTGATAGGAACAAAGACTATCTCACCATCCTTGTCTTAGACAGGTCTTTTGCCCAGTGAATGGATAGGTGAAAAAAACAATTGCAGTTTGATTGTCACTGGTGATGAAGTATAATAGGAGCTAAGAAGAGAAGTTGAAGAATCCTCTTCAGAGGAGCTGAGGGAGCTTCAAGGGGGGTACCTTCTATCTAAGCCTTGACTCCCTGGGGTTTGTTTTGCTTTTTGAGACCTGGTCTTGCTACATAGTCTAGGCTGGTCTTGTACACACAGCAGTCCTCCTGCCTGAGCTTCTGAAGGCTCCATCTGAGCCTTGGAAGATGAGCAGATCAAATGTGGGATGGGCTTTCTACGTTGGAGATTAATATGTAAAAAGTCACAAAACTTGAGAGAATCTGCTGTGACCAATATATATTCCAAATTTTAGAACCTTAATTTGAACGTAGGGTTATTTTTGTAAAAAAAAAATGTAGCTGATTCTTATAGAAATGAAATTATTTATGTGTCATAAATTTAAAATAAAGTATATAATAAATACATCTCTGAAACTCAGTAAAGAAGTCATTACATTAAGAAAGTGCCCTGATCTTTAAATGTTTCTACTACACAATTTTTACTTTATTTATTTATTTATTTATTTATTTATTTATTTATTTATTTATGGGGCTTGAACTCACGACCTTGCACTTGCCAGGCAGGTGCTTATGCTACTGAGCTAAATCCCCAGCCCTACAATATTTACTTTAAATCTTAGTGTTGTCCATAGAGTTTTGCGTAATTGAAAAGTTTGTGTATTTAAATTCATGTAAAAATAAAAATTTAAATGTAAAGTCTAATTTAATGAGAAAGCATGGGGATTTGTGCTGCTCTGTGGTATAGCAGGAATGAGTGGTAAAACCAGCTCTGTGCAGTAGTTTTTATCTGTGGTAGCTATAATCCTTCTTTAATTTTGTTTCTGTTATTTATATGAAAACCACACTTAATTTGCTCAGATAGCACTTTAGAATGTTTGAAGATTAGTGGGATCCCTTCAGCATGAATAAACTTATTGAAACTATATGAAAATTAATTTGCATTTGTGTTGTGAATCTTCACACATCCGATAGGCAATGTGTGGTATTACTTTTGTGTTGCCAAAAACTCAAAACCTAGTTACAATTGCTGGCACAAGTAGTTTTTAGCCACATGTCTTTGCAAGAGTGACAGAGGCCTTAGATTTCTTGACTGGATTGCAGAGAGCTCATCTTCAGAGCCGGCAGTGTGGCGTGTGTGTTACCTACTTGGTGTGTGAAGCAGGTGTCTCTGTACATCGGTCAGATATAAGAGCATCCTTATCTATTAATGATGCTTGTATGCTTAAATCTCAAGTCAAATAGACCCTACAGTTTTGCATTATTGATCACATTTAATAGAGATTGGTGTTTACACAGGTCTACCTCTTCCTTACAATGATCTTTGGGCTAGATGTGCTTTGGAATCAGACTTACTCAGGTTTTAGATCAGCAGTATTTGCATTGTTGTACAATGAAGCAAACAACCTGGAATATCAGCCCTGTGTATGTTTTTGTAAAACACTGCAGCTGTCTCTAACCAAGTGAGAATGTTTATTATCAATGGAATGAGTAAACCTCAGATAGCCTTTGTCAGGTGTTGTCACCATAGTTTCTGTCCACTACTGACTTACTAACAAGTTTTAGTTGTCATAGCGTTTTCAATTTAAAAATTGTTGAATGGAGATTCTAGGTAGGTCCTTGTATCAGTCCATACTTATTAGAGAAACACATTTAATTAAAATATACAAGTATGTTAGAATTTATGAGATTGGCTTACAATGGCTGCCCAAAGAGTTAGGTGTGGAAAATGTAAAAGGGCTGTCTGTGCACTGGATATCTGAAGGCTCCAGTTAAAGGCCCGGAGTTTAGAGTAGTGCCAGTGTGAGTTCATATCAGGGGGCTGAGGGGTCAAGCGCCAGAAGCCAGCAGATGACATCGGAGGTGAAGGTGAAGACTGGAGCTTCTCTGAGGAAACAGAAGCAGCCTTCTTCTTGGTTTCCCTTTTATATCATTCAGGCAGCAAATCTATTGGTTGCTGACACTCACTCCCAATAAAGTTCGTATTTATAACTAACTGCTTCTACTATCTATTCTGTATTCCTTCGGCCTTCAGCAAGCACCTCAGCAGGTCTTGGTTCATTCCCTGGTAAGGTGACCCATACCTTTATTCCTGAAGTTCTGGACCATTTGTCACAGTGCCTGGATTAGCTCGTAGTAGTTCCCTTGACCTTAATAATGGCACGATAGTACTGGGAGGTGTTCTGAGGGGTCTTCTGCACTCCATGTATGTTCTTTTACCCCACTATAGAGTAACAGTCTACTCTTAATATTCTGGGTCAGTTGCTGCTGCCAACACTGTAACTTCCTTTTTAGCTTGGTTCTTCAGTGGTGTGAAGAGACTACAATGAATGACCAGGTAGAAGTCTTAGCTTCCAGTTCAGTGTAATCATTGTTGTGCTTCCTGGTACAAGTCTTTACCATGCTGGACCTAGAACTTCTAAGCCAGTAGAGAATACAGTTGTGGGAACAGAGAAGCAAAATTTTGGTAGTGGATCACTATGGGTAATGGTCAGGGTACCATTTCTACTTCCACTCCTTGATTTGTGGGTCTATAAATCCTAGCTATAGGGGACTCAATGCCATATAGTGGAGTCTGGTTCAAAGCATGTAAGCCTTTTGAAGAACTTTCCTCCAACCCTACAAGCTGTTACCACCTACCTGGCACTGTAACTTCATCAAAACACCATTCCATGCTTTTATCAGTCTAGCCGCTTCTGGATGGCGAGGAACATGGTAAGACCAGTGAATTCTATGAACATGAGCTCATTGCTTTATCTCTTTGGCCATAAAATATGTTCCTTGGTCAGAGGCAATGCTGTATGGATTTTTATGACAGTGGATAAGACATCTGTGAGTCCATGGATGGTAGTTTTGGCAGAAGCATTACATACAGGGAAGGCAAATTGACATCCAGAATAAGTATCTGTGTCTGTAAGAACAAAGTGCTAATCCTTTCCATGGTGGAAAAGTTCCAATATAATCAACCTGCCACCAGGTTGCAGGTTGATCCCTTCTAGGAATTGTGCCAAATTCGGGGACTCAGTGTTGATCTCTGCCCCTGGTTTTGGGCATCAGCCATGGCTGTAGCCAGATCAGATCAGCCTTCGTGATTGGAAATACATGTTGTTGAGCCCATGCATAAGCTTTATCAGTGTTACCATAGCCGCTCTGTTCATGAGACCATTGAACAGTGACTGAAGTGGCTAAAAAACCCCAATCAAACAACCAACCAAACAAACAAAAAAACAGGTTGACCACTATCTAAAAAATGGGTATCATGTCACTTGACTGTTACAATCCTCATCTGTTGAGGTCACTGTTTGGTGAGTGTTTATATGGGGTACAAATATTTTTACATCCTTTGTCCATATGGAGAAGTCTGTCCACATACTTCTTCCAGATTTCCTTGCCACCAGTTTTCTAGTCATGTTCCTTCCAAGTTCCTGAGCAGCAGTGAGACCGCTGGCTACAGCCCACGAATTAGTGTATAGTCATACATCTGGCCATTTTTTTTTTCCAGGAAGAGTGTACCACTAGGTGTACTGCCCAAGGTTCTGCACACTGTGAAAATGTCCCTTCACCAGTGTTCTTCAGGGATGTCCTAGACAAGAGCTGTAATGCAGCAGCTGTCCATTTTCAGGTGATTTACGGATGCTGAAGACCCATCCATAAATCAGGCCCTAGCCTTCTCTTCCTTTGACAGGTGATCACATAATATACCCTACAAGTTGCATGGTGGAAAACAAAAGACAGGAGTAGGAGCCATGGTTGTCTGGACAGCTTCTTTGTATAACTTACTTGTACCCTCTGTATCTACTCTGCAAGTCACATATATACTGTTTCCACTAAATGCTGAATCTTTACTGTACATGTCCAGTCTTATGACTTGGTATGACAAATAATACCCATCTCATGGTAGGCAACTCAGGTCACATGGTGACCTGGTGTCCCATGGTCAAGTGTTCAGTTTGCACTAAGGCCCAAGAAGCCATGAGCTGCTTTTCAAAGAGGGAGCTATTGTCTGAAGATGATGGTGGAGTCTTGCTTCTAACTCCTAAAGGCCTCCACTGCACTTCACCTATGGGGGCCTGCCAGAGGCTCCAGACAGCATCCCTATCTGCCACTGATACTTCAAGTACCATTGGATTGCTGGATCGTATGGCCCCTGTGGGA